AAAAGATATGATCACGAAGACCATTGTTTTTTTTTTTATTTATTACAAATATACGTTGCTTAAAAGGTCGATGAACTTACAAGAGTTTTCTTAATTCTCCTTGTACAATCTAATATCTGTAATTTCGTAAGACGAAAATCCAAGTCTCTCGTATTAATAAAAAACATTTTAAGTACTAAGTAAAACGCGTGTACTACTAATCATGATACGAAAACGCATCATTTGATCTCGCGACCCAAATCCATGACCTTCTTTGACCAAGTGAACGGTGATCTTTATCCATTTTATTTCTTTTTTGTTTTTTGTTTGACCTTAACGAGCAACCAAACTTTCGTTGTGTAACGAAGCATCCGAAAAGGTAGACCAGTTCAAGGAAAACCAAACATGATCGTTTAACAAAATATGTACATACATAAATAAGAACGTATATATGTATATGTATTCATGTACTATAGAATAATCACGACCATATAATTTATCCCATTATAATTGTGATCAAACATTTTCACTTTCTAAAGGAGTTTCTTTACAAAAATTGCAGCATCGTGTATGAGCTGAAATATCAAATGCATCATCCATCATACAGTATCGTATTTTATGAGCAGAGTGTGAGGAAAAAAGACTACAAGTTTTTTGATCGTTAATTAACGTTAAACATAGGATTACAATTGTACAAAACACTATCATATATATTATTTAAATAATATATTAGTACTAATCGGTGTCATTAATTAAGAAAGATATCATTTCTCTTGGAACAAGTTACAATTTCTTCATACAATTCAATCATTTTAATTCTATTCTACGATAGAAATGAATTGAATTTAATTGATATTTTTTATTGTTAGTCAATAAAAAAAAAACAAAAAAATATTTTTGATAAATTCTGCTCTCATTCGTATACTTCTAATAAAGAAATGCTTGCGTTTTCTACGAGGAATGCATCGTGTAATAATTTGCATAATTTGATTCTATCTAATTTATCATTACTTTGCTCACACATTTCCATTATTTGAATGGCATGGTGGATCAACGTTATAATTACGTCGGCACGGAATAAGTCAAGTTGTAAGAAACAATGATATGACGCGAGAAAAGAAATTAGAGTACACGTATTACTTTCATGGAATAAATCATGCATGATAAATCATCCTTCTCCTCGAAGGATCATCCTTTGTACGTGTATTTTTCTCTCTCTCTCTCTCTTTCTCTCTCTTTCTCTTTCTCACACACACTCGCTCGCTCGCTCTTTTTTTCCTTATGCTCGAATAAGAAAAGTAAAAAAAAAATGAGAGAAAAAAAAAGAATAAGTTATAAGAGTAAGAACGACGATATAAAATATTCGTCAAGTTTCGTAATCGACTCACACTTACGTAATAATTATGGAAAAGAGAGTTCCAATGAGAGTGTCCGTATCTTCGAAGAAGAGTCACTGAGGTCGATTGTAACTTTTCAGGTCAACGAGCGTTCCAGCATTTACCATACGTTCATAGGCTTATCGTAAGAATTTTTTCATAAATTTTTAAACTCATGGAATAAATTTTTATTAACGCCAATCATCTTTTACCTTGAAGTTTAAATTAAAGAAAACTTTGTAAGATCTAATCGATAATTTCGATCGTTAGTCAGTTTCGTAATATATAAGGAAACATTCATTATATTATTCGTTAAATATCTTCTACATCTCATTAATACTTTATTTCATATAGTTATCTATATTTGTTTACTAGTTATCCTAATCCAATCGCATTTTCTTAACACGTTCACCTTGACTCCAACATCATCTTCCTTTTTTATATCGAATCGAATCTAATTCATCCTGAAGGCCATCTTTCCCGAAAATATCTTCAAGGTTTCTACGATTGGTTCAAACGAAAAATTTTTTACTAATCAATATCGACTTTCGAAATGATTTCTTTTATTTAACTTCTAAATAATCACATAAAGATCACAACAACTGGAAGAGAAAGAGCAAGAGAGAAAGAGAGAGAGAGAGAGAGAGAAAGAGAGAAAGAGAGAAAGAGAGAGAGAGAGAGAGAGAGAGAGAGAAAGAGAGAAAGAGAGAAAGAGAGAGAGAGAAAGAGAGAGAGAGAGAGAGAGAGAGAGAGAGATAAATACCTTGAATTTTTTTGATTAAAGAATCGTTCAAAATAATTTATCGTTTCTTTTCTTTTTTTAATCATTTTTTTAATTTTTTTCTTTTTTTATTAATTTTCGACTTCGTATGCATAATAATGTTTTTTTTTTCGTAAAAATATCAGTACTCGCGAGAATTTGCATGATTCGAATGGCGAATGCCTTAATAATAGATGAACGAATGAGTTCGTTGAAAGAATATAGTGATTTCGAAAATATTTCCGCTTTGCGTAAATACCTGTTCTCCCACGTTGAAAACGCCTACTTTAGTAGTGTGAATCCGTGATAATCATCGCATAGTAAATTAAAGATCTCTATACTGAACATAATGAAGTAGTGGGAGACGAAATCTTTCTTTATCCTATGTACATTTCATGAAATATAAACGAGGGAAATATGAATAAGACGTATCCTGATGAGAGAAAGGTACTTATATACTGCCATAATATTTCCGTAACTCCGCCTATAGTTGTAGTTTATTTTTAAACTCCTCCTTTTATTCTATCTCTTTTATTTGCATGATATAATGTCGAGAGAAAGAATTGTTACGTCGTATCATTCGATGTCCCCTATCATCGTTCAACACGAAGTCTTTACTAAAGATTTATATCAGAGTAATTAAAGATCGAAGGTTAAACAGAAATTGTGATTATAACCTTTTATATATATATATATATATATATATATATATATAATATACATATACGTATATTTGCGTCCACACGTATTAACGTAGATAAACATGACATCGTAAATCCCTTCATTCACGCACAAAGTGAATAAACGTGAGAGAGAAAGTTGAGATCTATAAGAGAAGAAGGATTTCATTCATGGATAATTGCCACTAAGACTACGATGGCCTTGAGAATTCACGAATAAAATAATCAAGTTTGATCAAAGTCTGCGTGTCCGGTATTAGAAGGTCGTACACACCATAAAATCAACTTTTATGTATTGTTTGTACGATCAAGACAAAGAATATATTCAACGAGATTTTTATCTTATGTCGAATAGATCCGATCGATTTTTATATATATTCTAAATCTATCGATAGTTTTGCCCCTTGTTAAAGAAAATGATTATTTAGCGTCAGTTTTATCTCGATGTTACTATAAAAAAATATAACATATCATTATGTAATGTACAGATATAATATGTTATAATACAAATATAATACAGTAGCTCGTAATTTATATCTTTTATAATATGCAATAAACACAAGGTGTATAAAATGTATTAATGTTTTTTCGATGGATCGTTACGTCGATATTGCGTATATCGAGAAAATATCATCTCTTCGGTGAACGTTAATTAAATTACATCATCTACTAATAATTATCCTTTTACCATTCCATTTAGCACGATTAAAACTACGAGCAAACGAGAAAAAATATACATTGAAAAGAAATTTTCGAGTGCTGATGAAGAAACTAATGAACGTTGTCAGTGGAGAAAATAAAAAAAAGAAAAAGAAAAATTGTTCTTGTTACGTTGCATACATGCTAACCCAAATAAAAGATACATGAGGAAATATAAGGTCAATGAACTCGTACGACGTTCTTGTTGATCCATTCAATCATCAAACACCGTTTTATCCTTAATCAACAGTCACCTCTACTTCCTGCGAATAGTTTTATATAGTACATACTCGTTCTAATATACATCGTCCCTTGACGATTCTTTCAAATTGCTTAATCGAAATTAATTGGAAAAAGTTCGATGATCGAATGACTTTCAAAATAGATATCTAATAATAAATATCCTTTATTTCTTAATTAATCGTTTAGTTATAATTGAAAAATCGCACGTACGATCAATTCGCGAGTAGATAAATACTATGATAACCGGCATCTATAGAGATTGCACAGTCAAGTACAGGGACTCTGCCATTATATCGTTCCGCCAAATCATTCCTTCATCATCTTCTTCTTCTCATTCTTTTTCGCACGCTTAACAATGAGCAACCGTCGTTATCCAAGAAGCATTTTCAGTCAAGATACACATTATAATTACAATGCAGTAGTCACGACAAGTATCATCGTACTCGAATGACTAGTAATGCATTTAAAAACCTTCTTGATTTGCGTAATTAAAACGCGTTTTACTAATCTGTAATATAATTAACGAGTAAACGTAATCTATTATCATTTATTACAATATTAAGTCGAAAGCCGACTTCCCCTGTATATATGACGACAAATTCTGGTCCTATTTTCAGAAATGATTTGACAAAAATAAAAAAAGAAGAAAAAAAAGAAATAAATTAAAAAAAAAAGAAAAATAAAGAAACATTCGGTTTACATTTTCGTACTTTTGTATTTTTTTTTTTTTTGTAATTTTTTACTACGATGAATACATACCTCAAAATTTTCCATGAAGAAGCATGGATGCTCGATAAAAAGCATTTATCCTTGAATCCTCCGAAACGATGGATCGTGAGATTCCTTATGTCGGCGCATACAACTCGATGGACCTTTTCAAGAGAACTTGGCTGGCATCGTCCTTCTTTCCTTCTCTTCTCTCGAAGCGAACTCTCACTTTCTCTCTCTCGGTCCTTCTTGTTATCTTGTGTGCTATTGGCTCCCCCATACTTACTTGAATATTTTCACTCTCTCTCTCTTTCTATCTATCTCTCTCTCTTTCTCTCTCTCTCTCTCTCTCTTTCTCTCTCTCTCTCTCTCTCTCTCTTCTTCTCTTTCTCTCTCTCTCCCACTCAAGTGCGACACGAAAGAAGAAGAATTACAGCATCCTCTTGGACACATCGGATCGCAATAATCACATGGACCGAACGTTTCTCCTCAACCCTGTCTCCCCTTCTCCACCCCCACCATCACCACCACCAACTCAATCAGGTGAATCCTATAAATGCTCTCAACGTTTGCTCGGGACGAAGAAGTCAGAACTCTATCTCGGGACGCCGAAGCTCCCGCGAGACATGCGTTCGTTTTGACTCGCCCTCTTCGCTCAGTTGATTGTGTTAACAAGAGCACATTCCTAAAATTAGTGAGATGGTAAGTAATCGAGGAGTTTTGTGTATTAGTGACCACGTATTTTAAGAGTGAAAGGAGATACCATCTTCGAGGGTTGTGTAATGGTATTGAAACGTGACGAAAGGGTTCGGTAGTGTGGGATTGTGGACAACCCTTTTTTTTTGTTTTTTTTTTTATTTTGTTTTTATTTGTTTTTTTTTTTGGTGGAAAAATTGTTGATTAGCTCGTTCGGAATGACGTGAAAATTTCGTGTGAGAATCTATATTATCTCGGGAGGAAAATAAATCTACGTTAGAACTGTTATGTGTTCTAAAAGAATTTTCTCGGATTTTTAAGGATTGAGAAATGATTACTTTGAAATGACAATTTAGGTCAGAAAGTGTGTCTTCTTTGAACTACCAAACGAACACGTGCTCAATCGCAATCATCCGATATATATTCGTTCTCTATTATCACCGACATTCATCTCATTTGAGAAAAGATTTTTTTCTCCTATTCTTTATGTCAGAAAGAAAAAAAGAAAAAAAAAGGAAGAAAAAGAAGAAGAAACTTTCGTTCTTTCGCACTTTCATACGTTTGTAAAATAATATTTCCGATGGTGAGTTTAGCGGTTGGTATTTGCACGTAGCGCGGCCGTGCTCACAACCTCTTAGGAATTAATAGCAAGACTCGAACGGCAGCCAGCTGTTGGCGCATAAATGTTAAAGGTTATCATTGTTTCTTAACTCGCGATAGATCTGATGGAATTTTTCTTTTTTTCTTATTTTTTCTTTCTTCTTTTTTTCTCTTCCTTTTTTCGCCTTTACGTGGATATAAACAATAGACCTTAATATGGTATAAAATGCGTCAAGTCGAGCTACTCGAAAATGATTTCTCAAACTATGATTCAAAGATCGAGAGGCATCATTTAAAATGCGCGCGAAAATATCATTTGCATTATCGTCGTATATGTATACGTGCATACGTATGTGTGTGGATGTGCGTGTGTGCGTACATTTTTCATCTTTCATATTCCAACGAAGACGTTTACTCTCGACCATACTTTCTTCGTTCTTCCTTTCAATCATGTGACATTAAGAAATACTATAAAAACATTTTTAATCGTCTTATCTTCGTTGTAGAAACATTCATTTTTCTTTTTTTCTTTTTCTTTTATGTAATTTCGCGGAATAAGAAAGAGAAAGAGAGAGAGAGAGAGAGAGAGAGAGAGAGAGAGAAAGAAAGAGAGAGAAAGAGAGAAAAGAGAGAGTACGAAACAACGTCCGTAAAATTTGTTGAATCCTCAAAGTATTCCTACAAATAATCTAATAAACTATTTCCCGTTTTCCAAACAGAACATACTCGTTCATGTTAAAGACTACTTCCCGAGCAATTTTCGTGAATGCAATCTCGAGAAAAAAAACAATTCATCACGCAACGAATTGTCTGATCTAATCCAACGTCTATTCATTTTCGGACTAGCGCAATAGAGAAATTTCTAAATGGTTAAAGGTCAATTTTGTACGTTCCGAATAAAAGACGCTATAGAATCGGTTGACTCGTGCGTTATTAGAAGTCGTGAGGATCCGTGACGTAACGTGACATTCTAGTCGATCTTAAATATCGTAAGATACTCTCCGCCTAAACCGTTTCCTACTATTTTTCTATTTAAAATAGGTATAATAATTATTCGAAAAAAAAATTTTTACGAATATATAATATAACATTCTATTTTTTTTAGTTTCTTTTTTATATTCAAAAAATTGCGAAAACTCAATTGCTATCGTCTCGTTAGCAGAAATTGTATTAAATCGTTGTATAAACTGGTTATTCGTATTGTACGTTGAACTCATGAGAATTTAATTAAATCATGGCTCGTTAGTTTCAAAGCTAAGCACTTAGAATACATCGATATTTAACGAACTTACCGAGCGATAGTTTAACTACGTGAATCGTTGATTTATGTAAAAGTGAGAGATCAGATCAACTCTATTTTCGATTCTCTTTCGTTTATACAACATTGTATTTTTATTTGAAGAATACTCGTCTACTTTGATTCATTCATGCTACGAGAACGTTGATACTTGTAAATTTTACGATCAATTTTTCATCGAAAAATATATTTATTAATAATATTTGAAATAGAATTAAAAGTGCAATAAGATCGTCGTCGAAATTTCAACGTATTTACGTAAGCAAATAATTACACGACTCAATATTTTCAGATCTTTTTTGTGTGTCTTTAGAGGATCGATATGTACACGTACACACACATACATATACATATATATATATATATATATATACACATACACACACACACATAATAAAGACAGAATGATGGATCGCTCCTCTGAATCGATCGTATAAGAGAAAATGTTCTTCGTGGGAGTCAGAAATGTAATTCGACTTGTCCATCTCTTAACTGTTCCTTTTATTTTCTTTTTCTTTTCTTTTCTCTTTTCTCTTTTTCTTTTTCTTTTTATTTTTCTTTTCCTTTTTACTTTTCTTTCTTTCTTTCTTTCTCCCTTTCTTATTCCTCTTAACTCAAGGATCGCGCTTATATTCGCGAAACGATTTATTACCAACGGCTAATCCGTCGTAGCTGACATTTATTACGAATGATTAACAAAGAGCAAGTATGACCGTAAAATCCATGATTAAACGTTGTATTAAAGTTTGGTACAAGATGACGCAAGTTGATGGAATTTTTTTATTTTACTTTTTTTTTTCTTTTTTTTTCTTAAATTCTTTATGTACCTACTATTGTTCACAGAATTATTCTTGAAACTTATTACATACCTGTTTATTATGAATTCAAAGACAAATTATTCAAATGGTATTTTTGAAATGCGAACAAGAGTTAAGTAAACGAAGGTCAATGACAATTCGTCGTTCGTTTAACGATTATTACTTTCAATTTCTCTGTGGTTACGTCTTATAACCACCTACTCGTTACCTCGTACTACAAGCAACTATCATCACCTAAGTTTATTACCTTTGGTAGTACTACAGCCATTTCGGAGGATTCATCTTATAGTACTTTTCTACATGCGCCCACGTGTTTCCTTTCATCTTTGAATTGACGCAAGTTGCACGATACGAGAACACTCGACGAGAAAAAAAATTTATTCTCAAGTAAGATCGTATATGAATTACTTTGAGAAAGGACGAAGATAAAGAAAAAAAAAGAAAAAAAAAAGAAAAAGGAAAAGATAAAAATAAAAATAAATAAATAAATAAATACAGGAGAAGACATTGAAAAAAAAAGCGAGGTATTTTGATTGCGTAATCGAGAGAAGCCAAATTGGTCAGTAAATTTCAGGATGACCCACGGCCTTTCGTAAGAATGATAAATACCCTGTCGTTCTTCTTTTCTGTCTTGGTTTTTTTTTCATCATCTTCTTCTTCTTCTTTTCTTTCTTTTTCGTTTTCTTTTTCTTTTTCTTCTTCTTCTGATTTTTTATTTTTTTTTTATTTTTATTTTTCTGCCTACGTACTCCTTCCTCAGTTACTTCAGTGATCAGCCGACTTAACTTTCGATTTCGTCATAATTGGAACCTCTGCCTTGTGGCGAGACGATGGCATGAATTTATTTTTATTTCTTTTTATTTCTTTTTATTTTTGTATTTTTTTTAACCTGTTCTCTTTTTATTTCTTTCTTATTAAAAACGACGAAGAATTCCAAAAAAGCATCTTCATTCTTAAACAATAAATTTATAACGTAAGTATATTCGATTTGTGATAATAAGAAAAGAAGGAAAAAAAAATTAAAGAGATTCTATGAATATATAGAAGAAATTATTAAACAATGCTTCGATACTTTACTTTTTATTAAGAGTGAAAGTAGAAATCTAATGTTCAATTATTTTCTATATTAGCGCGATGCAATGTCCTTGTCGTTTAATGACATCGAGATAAAAACGGAGAATAGATTTTCCCATTTGCATGTTCCATAAAACAAGGCGGATCTTTGTTATGTTAAACGCGAATGTCTTACCCATCGACGATAATTGTATGTATGACTGGATATTTTTTTTCTTTTTTCTAGGATTTAACGATAACTGTTAATGAGTGAAAGAGATAAACAACAATCACGTGGCGTTGAAACATATTCCGACATTCTTTTCGACATTCACCAAGAGAACTTTCTCCGTCGTACTAAAAGTTGAGAATAACATATAAAAAAAATTTTTTCTTTCAATTTTTTTTTTTATTTCTTTTTTTCTCGAAAACATCAAAGATACAACGAACAAATCTGATAAGATTCGTAGAAAGTTCCAACGATTCGATTTTGCTAATCATAGAAATCATATCTCTCAATAGGCGGACTTTAATGCATTTCACAATATCACTATCTTCGTTCCTCTTCATTTTTCATAGATATAACTTGCATTATCGCGTATAGAGCAGCAAATAATTAGAAAGTGCACGTAAGAACGGAGACGCTTAGTCCGCGCCTGTTCATCTCGTCGTCTCTACGCTTTATTAGTACCAAAGTCGTAATGCGTAACTGCAACACGCATTTACATTATGCAAGAAACTATTTTAGCTTGTATCTCATGTATTCCATTCCTATATATCTTTCAACTGTGAAAGAAGGCGCCGTATCCAGTTCCATTGATTTACGATACGAGCATACTATTCTCCATGAAAGTTGTAAATTAAACGAAATTGATCTGTCGACCTTCCAATGATATTTTTATATAGTAACTTTTACATAATAAAAAATTAAATTTTAAAAGAAATCGTACGACTCAAAAGCTTAAGCAATTTTCATCGCTTATCTTACGTTTTTATGTATCCGACAAAAATTTATTAAACTAAACCGAATGGCATATCTTTATGAATATAAAACGTGTTCCGTTTTACGACCGGCTGTGTTCTCAAAGATTACATCACGAACGATGTACGACTTCTTCGGAGCTACTCATCGACTTGCGTCTTATAACATGCTGGATATGGATTGCGTCTGCTTCTTCGTGCAATGATGCAAGAAAGTTTGCACATCCCATAAGCGATGAAGTCCTGGAGTAGATATCTTATAAAAGCCATCATATTGGTTCCTCATTATCTCGTGAAACATCTCGTCGCTTTCTCCGATTGTAAATAAATCGGTCAAGTACATAACGATCGATTGATTTTTTCGATCTAATTTTATAAAAAAAAAAAAAGAAAAAACAAAAAGAAAAAAAGCTCAAATCTTTCATCGGTAAGAAAATTTTTGAATTAATTTAGAGTATAGGAAATGGAAGGGATTGTTGTTTGCGTTTTTAAAACATTTGAATTATGAATATTCATGTCAAGTACATTAAATAGCTATGCAAAGAGAGGTGAATGCAGCCTTGCTATAATATGTATCGCGTGTTTCACAGACCGTGGAGATCCACGCCGACACTTGTACACCACTATGAAAAACCTTTCGCACATTGCTAACAGACACCAATCCTAAAGAATATTCTCTCTACTAGAAGCGTGTGATCCTTCCATATAAATTATACAATCTAAAGGTCACTGGACGTTTCTTCGAGCTAGAATCCGTCATTCGCCGCTTCGTGTCTGTAGGATATCGCATATGAACAAGATAAGATTCGACAAACTCTCAATCGATGGAATAATCTGATTTTAATCAATTAAAATTTAAATCGATAATTTTAAGACGTACAAATGTGAAAATTATTTCCAACTCCGTGTAAGAATTTATATATATACTATTCACTTAACACCTCGTTAATAAAAATCACCGATTTGTAAAAAGAGATTAGCTAGACCATAGGAATGACCACCAATTGCTATTTTTAGTAATTTAACGAATCACTAATCAATAAAAGTATACATCGTATCGGTATTTCGTATCAACAAACCTTTCACGATCATCACTGGATCCCTCAATGTTATGTATGATATCCCTTGTAGATGGGGCATGAGATTATCCTACAGAAATGACGTTCGAACTATTGTGATCTCTTAAATCAAAACAAGTTCGGTTAATTCAGTTTCATTTCTCATTTTTTTTGTCCACAGTGGAAGCTGCTGTGGACCGCCACCCTCGTGGCGGCACTTTCCACGTGCAATGCAAAGCATATTGAAAGGGATAAACGAGCGATAGAGAATTATCCAATACCCCAAAGAGCATTCGATGGATATCACTATCAGTCACCGAGCAAGCCTTTCCCTTTACCTTCTACTAAGTGAGTAAATCAAATAAAAAAGAAACCATTATTTAAAAGTTATCTAAATTTTCAGTAAGTGCACGAAGTAACATGATAAGCGTGACAATGGATATTTTTATACGTATAATTTTTCCTTTAAACAGAGGTACTTCAACGACAACGCCGTACCAAAATCGACCAGATAAGCCAATTACATCAACAACGCCACCATATTCAACTTCGACAAAATTAACTACACCGAGGGTGATAACCACACCACCAATTAATCCAACGACATCTCATCCAGGATATCCAAAATCAACACCAACGATTCCTTTCACACTACCACCAAAAACACCATCCAGACCACCATATCAACCCCCTCAAACACCAAGCAGACCATATCAACCACCACAAACGCCATCCATACCACCATATCAACCTCCCCAGACTCCAGCCAGGCCACCATATCAACCCCCACAGACACCATCCAGACCTCCATATCAACCCCCACAGACACCATCTAGACCTCCATATCAACCACCACAGACACCATCCAGACCTCCATATCAACCCCCACAAACACCATCTATACCCCCATACCAACCCCCACAGACACCATCCAGACCACCATATCAACCACCACAGACACCATCTAGACCTCCATATCAACCCCCACAAACGCCATCTATACCCCCATACCAACCTCCACAGACTCCAACCAGACCACCATATCAACCTCCACAAACGCCATCCATACCCCCATATCAACCTCCCCAGACTCCAACCAGGCCACCATATCAACCACCACAGACACCATCCAGACCTCCATATCAACCCCCACAAACGCCATCTATACCCCCATACCAACCTCCACAGACTCCAACCAGGCCACCATACCAACCTCCACAGACTCCAACCAGGCCACCATATCAACCCCCACAGACACCATCCAGACCACCATATCAACCACCACAGACACCATCCAGACCTCCATATCAACCCCCACAAACGCCATCTATACCACCATATCAACCACCACAGACACCATCCAGACCACCATATCAACCACCACAGACACCATCCAGACCTCCATATCAACCCCCACAAACGCCATCTATACCACCATATCAACCACCACAGACACCATCCAGACCTCCATATCAACCCCCACAAACACCATCTATACCCCCATACCAACCTCCACAGACTCCAATCAGGCCACCATATCAACCCCCACAAACGCCATCCAGACCTCCATACCAACCTCCACAGACTCCACCATATCAACCACCACAGACCCAATCCAGACCACCATACCAAACAACACTCCATCCAGGATATTCTAAATCGACGCCAAAGATACCTTTCCCATTGCCAACTAAAACACCGAAACCACCTACATCAGAACAACCTTCTACGAGACAACCTGTACCGTCTCCAACTAAACCGACCTACATCCCTCCACCAACCCAGCCGCCTACTAGACCAACGCGGCCAATTTATTTACCTCCAACATCAGAACATACTAGACCAACTGCGTATCAACCACCAACGCTGCCTTCTACTAGACCAACTTCATATCAACCACCAACGCTGCCTTCTACTAGACCAACTTCATATCGACCACCAACACTGCCTTCTACTAGACCAACTTCATACCAACCACCAACGCTGCCTTCTACTAGACCAACTTCATATCAACCACCAACGCTGCCTTCTACTAGACCAACTTCATATCAACCACCAACGCTGCCTTCTACTAGACCAACTTCATATCAACCACCTTCTACTAGAACACCATCAAAGTTTCCTACTAAACCAACATCAACGTCTCCTACTAAACCAACCTATCTACCTCCTAAAACAACATATAAACCTACACCAACACCCACTAAACCACCTTCACCATTAACAACGAGATCTACTTACAAACCACCAACCTATCTTCCACCAGAAACTACCACGATACGTCCAATCATAACTACTCAATCTACAACAAGATTTACAACACCGCCGACTTTTTCTACTACCAGAACAACCCCTTACATACGTACTACACAACCTTCATCCTATCTTCCACCGATATCTACGAAATCAACATCAACTCATACCTTTGAAACGAAAACCCCATACGTTTCAATCAAAACAACGCCGAAACCAACAAGGGCAACTTATCTTCCACCGGATACTACTAAGCATATATCTACGATAACAACGCCATCTACGCCAATTTATACTCCGTCTATTATAACCGTGACGCCAACTCCGTCCATTTCAACGAAAAGCACGACATATGGCACTAGGCCTTCTCCTTATTTGCCACCATCATCCCCAAGGCCGACCTATATTACTAAAACTCCACCTCCTTATCCTACACCGATTTATAGCATAACGCCTAGCACAACAACGTACAAAACCCCAACGGGAATTATAGGACCTAGTCCTACTCTACCACCGGTAACTCATAGACCAACAGGTTACAGTTATCCGATTCCAGATATCCCCTTTGAATTTCGTAAACGATGATCAAAATTGAAATTCGTGTACGATTTAGTCTGAACTAAATGTAACAAACTAAAAAAATTTATCTACAATTTTTTTGTTTGCCTTCCTTTTATTTTTACACATTTATACGTAACAGGAAATTACATGTTAATCGCCGTTAATTTAAGAAATCATGCAGTCAGCGAAGTTTCTTCTTCGCGTAAAATAAATTTATAGGAATATTGTCGAGTTACCATCCATGCTAGAATTTAGAAGAAATTTAAGCAGCATATAGAGCGTAATGATTTGTAAAAAGCTAATAAATGTTTTTCTTTCTTTTTCTTTTTTGTTTCAAAAAAATAATATCCTCGAATTATTTGTTTAAAATCGTAACACGCGATATAAGTACATCGTACTTTTGCCGAGGTAAGTAGCCCATAAAAAGTATTTGTCTCCTTCTACCATAACGAGCCTCCCCCACGAACAAAGAAAATTTCTATTTACATGATAGGATCACGAGTGAAAACTCCGTGGCAAAGAACAGACTCTTGTTAGTAGCATAGAAAGCATCGGAAGAATAGCATCTCGTGTGTTAAAAAAGAAATCGGTTATTCGAAGTTTTAGTATGAAAGAATATCGCATTTAGAAAGAATTTTTAAAGGATTAGATTCACGTAACGTATCTATAGATAAATGTATATAAAATGAATATTAGACAACGTTTCGTCCCTAATTTATTCAATTGTGGTAGCAATTATCGATGATTAATAATAATGGACGCCGATAAATCTAATTCGCGGAAACAAATGCTACATCCTGGAAGAAGAAGTGCTACAAGTATATCCGAACTTGGACTTTATTTCGATCGTAGCGATCGATATCGCAGAAATCGATACAATTCGATCGTGAGGAAATTTGTCATCGGAATAATGGTGCTTATAACGGTGATACTGGTAAGAAATCATCATCATCATCATCATCATCTTTATTATTATTATTATTATTATTATTATTATTATTATTATTGTTATTATTATTATTATTATTATTATTTGTATTATTATTATTATTATTATTATTATTATTATTATTATTATTATTATTATTATTATTAATATTATTATTATTATTATTATTATTATTATTATTATTATTATTATTACTATTATTATTATTATTATTATTATTATTATTATTATTATTATTATTATTATTATTATTATTATTATTATTATTATTATTATTATTATTATTATTATTATTATTATTATTATCAACATCATTATCATCTTTGTGTCATTAATGATTTAAATTAAATTGAAAAAAAAATTATTTAAAGATATAGACATGAATAATGAAATATCATCTAACGAGATATTGTTGCCTAAAAACAATGCTACTAGATTTAGTGAACGTTAAACTTCGTTTTTCTCTTGAATAATACGTGAAGATCAATATCGGTCTTTTTACGATGAGAAAATAGATGCTTATCTATGCATATGTCATGAATCATAGTCTAACATTGAATGTCCTCTTTAACGGTTAATCATTATAGTCGACGGATAATTATATCTCATTTATATTTGTTCCATAATTAAAATTTCTTGATTCCCTTTTAACGCGAGATCCAATACTATCGGAAATAATTTTGTCATATATTATATAATAAAAAAAATATTTCTAAACTTAAGTAGCTCGCAAGTGTCATTTCAAAGATATTTGTATAAGTTAAATGTGCAGCGATTTTCACAACGCACGCTTGATTAAAAAAAAAAAAAGGAAGAAAACAAAAAAACGAATAACAAAAAATAAACAATGAAGGTATAATAACATATTTCTCGAACGTTTTCTCCAATGATTAATGCGAGAGGCACAATAGAGACATGAACTATTAAAATTTCACCGTAGATCCAGAGAGTAGCACCTTCTATGCATGGCGAACCAAGCGTCAAAGAGATTTCTGCGTCCTTCACATATGGGCCATCCGTTGTAATTTTCATGCGGATTTAAGTCTGACTCTAACACGCGAGAGATCGAAATAGGGTTAATCACAAGAATATTTAATTAATTTAATCATTGTACTCGTTCGCTGCATTTCCATTGCAGATAATAATTATAACGCCAACGTAGAAAAATTTTATCGCGCGAATTCATCAAATTAACAATGTCCGTCCATCTTCCAGATCTCAGTTAATTTCACTTGTAGATGTTAGAAAACTTCTTTCTTGTTAGATCAATTCAACGAAAGGGCAGAGATAATTTTTCTTTGATTCTTGAAATGAAAGGGAAAGGATAATCGGTATGGAGAGGAGAAAGTAACGGATTCGTCGACTCGAAAGATGGACGGATAAATAAAAAAGAAGAAAATGAGAAAATAAAAAAGAAAAAGAAAAGAGAAAAGAAAAAAGATAAAAAGGAAACGTACAATTAATATATATTATCGAGATGCTTGAAGGAATATATTACATGGTCGATGCTTCGAACAATGCGGAAGTTAAAGCAATATATACTTTTCTCTGTCGAATATTCCAACATTGACAATTCTTTTTTCGAATTGTCCAAGATTTATCATCCTTGGCTAACGTCATGACGTTCCAATTATTTTTCATTTTTTTCTTCGATCATATAAAATTTTTGTTTTTCTACTTGCTTCTATCATCGATTAAAATATTTCTAGTCTACGAACAATCATACTTTTACTCTTATTATTACGCTGCAACCTTTATGGATTCTCTGGATTAATGTAAAAATTATTTTCCTTTCTCTATTTCTTTCTCTTTTAACATTAACACGTGAACTTTTCGATAGGTGGCGGTATTCCTATACGACTTTACTTCCGCGACATCGTCTAATAAGATAAATCAAGAAACGAAGCACATATATGTACTTCAAAATGCATTGAGAAAAACACCGAGTGTTTCGAAAAAAACAATCGATTCTAAAACATCTTTTGAGACAACGGTAATTCCGATAGAAAATCATTCCTACGACGATAAGATAGAAGAAAAATTAATACGTCAAAATGAGACATCCGATCAAATTACTGACGAAGCTTCTGTGGAACAATTGATCGAAGCAGAATCGAGATCACAGAATCCAAGTAATTTCAAATTACGAAAGAGATTGTTAAAATCTATCGACGATTGTAATGACGAGGAAGATGGTCCAGAGAATAAACAGTTGTTCGACAATCATGCAATGTTTTATAGGGTAAAACAAAGGTAATACAATTTTGCTTCACTATATATAATAAAATTAACTATGTATAAAATTATTTCTTTACAAATTTTTTTCTTACAAATTTTTTATTAATATCTCTAATAGATACAAACATCTAAAGTCGGAGGAAGAAGATAATTTGGAGGATAGAAGGCCGGCACCATTTCATTGGGAATACAGGACCCCACATCCTAGTTCATTCAAACGTACGAAATTTCCCCAATTAACGCAGTACCGATATCCTCACACATCGAGAAACATACAAGATATCATAAAGTATCTAACGAATGACGCAGAAATGCCTAGTAGAGGTATCAAGTTCACTGGGGTTTACGTAAATCCTAAAAAGTACGATGTTTATCCAGAAATGGCTGATACTACTTTGAACGCTGATAGATCCGAAGAGATTGATGATACTTATTACCCTATGAATTACAATGGAGATCCATTTTATCAGTACAAACCTAAACACCCATCCGATGTTAATCTTTTAGCTACTTCTAACGTTAGGTAATAAATTATTGAATAATTGCGATATCGAATATTTTTGTTTGGTTTTTTTTTTTTAAGAAATATCAAACAATCATTCTTTAGATTTTCACCAGCCGGTATCAATAGATACAATCCATACTATGATCCATATTTTCTACGACCAACTTTTAACAAACCATCACCGACAGAAGAATCGCAATTGCAAAATTCATACATATCTAGCTCTTATCAAAAGAGAAAAAAACCTCAGCCGTTCAGTGTGATGTTGGATATATATCCGATCACCGATATAGTAGAACAGAATAAAAAAAATGGGAAACCAAAGCAGCAAATACCTTTGGAGGATTACGAGACTAGAAGGCCGATTCAATTTAACAGAAATCCGAAATTTTATTCGTCCAACCCTCAACCTATTCCTATAGTGGCTATACCTAATCAGCAGGCTTTAACAGACGAAGAAGAAAGACAGCAAATGATATTTCATTTGAATCTTTATCCCAGACGAAAAAATAAACTCAGTAGGTAAGGATGAGATGCTTTTCTTCTCTCTTTTTGTTTAGCTAATTAACACAATAGATTTAAATAGGCTTTTTTCAAAAATAATAAATCATTATGATAATTATTATCATTAAAATGGTTTCCTCTAATAATAAAACTTTCAAGGTAGTTTCAGAGTCATGAGTGCGTTATTGCATAAACGATATTCAGTTGCTTTCTCGAATCCGTTCTTTTGACGTCGGCTAATGAATTGGAGTTCTAACTCACGTCGCGCATCAGTAACAACCAAATGAAATCATTGTAAACGACGTGTAATATGCATTTACGTTTTGACTCTTCTTTGAACGGTTATAAACTCGACTGACTTTCACTGACAATGTCTATCTACACTTGATACTTTACTCGCGAAGATAAACGCTGATTCTTCGATTTTTTTAAATCTAAAGACGTCACTCGTCGTGAGTGTCGTCGTGAACATCGCCTCGGGCTCGTCGAGAACTTATCTCACGAAATGCCACGGTCTGAATTCGAGACCCGTCGTATTGGTGAACTCGAGGTCATTGAAAATTCTCCGTTACAATATAATATTTTATTTTGTCGTATTAAGATATGAAAGAAACTATGTAATATATTTTCAAACGGACTTTTCAGACACGAACTGATTCATAGATCGGAGATTATGGAACCCGAGGAACATGAACAGATCATCGAAAAGATAATGACTCCGTTGGAATCAATCGCTAAACATATTACCGATCATTCGTCCATTGAAAATTCTAAACAAGATGAGAACGAAGAAGATGAAGTAACAGCTCTACCTATCACTCATCTACAAGAGAAAGTTTTGATGATCAAGGACGAAAAGTACGCGAACGAAACGACCGATCGGACCGAACTGTACGAAGGCTCGATCATCGTACCTTCTAATCACAAATCTAGCTTGGAGGAGGATTATGCTAGTACGGAGAAATACGAGTACGAGGCACAAAAAGTTATCCTCACGACGACAATGACGACAACAACGACAACAGATAGCGACTATCACGAAAACACAACCATATTTGAGGATAATTCAACGACAGAGAAAAACAAA